CCCAAACTCTCCTATTCACCCCCTCCTCGAGTCTTCGGGTCTACATGTTTTGTGCATAATCTCTCCCCTGGTCTTGATAAACTATCAGCTCGATCACTAAAGTGTGTCTTTCTTGGTTATCATCGATCCCAAAAGGGTTATCGTTGCTACTAACACACTCTGCAAAGATACCTGATATCAGCCGATGTTACCTTCTTCGAGTCTGTGCCATACCCAAGTCACTCCGGAACCCCTTCAGGAAAGTACTCCCACACCTCTTCCGGAAGTCCCATTTCCCATTATCCCCCATCATTCTAGGGAACCTGTCCCACGAGAAACCCCTACGGTTGACCCCCACTTCTCGCCCACTTCAAACATATCAGCGTCGTAAACCAACGTCTGTCATACCTGTTCCCGAGGTTGTACATGTCCCTGAGGTCGTATCTGTCCCTGAGGTCATTGCAGATTCTCCTCCGACGCTATCGCCATCACCGGATTCGATCCTGCAACCTGAGTCTGATCTTACGATTGTCCTTCGCAAAGGTATATGTCAAACACGAAATCCTTCTCCACATTATATTGATTTATGTTATCATCGTCTTTCCCCTTTGCAGTATACTTGTCTGTCCTCTTTATCTTCTGTTTCTATTCCTAAATCTCCAGGTGAAGCATTATCTCACCCTGAGTGGAGGCAAACAATGATTGATGAAATGTGTGCTCTTCAAAGCAGTGGTACTTGGGAACTGGTTCCTCTACCCATTGGAAAATCTTTAGTAGGTTGTCGTTGGCTTTATACAGTGAAAGTTGGTTCAGATGGTAAGATTGATCGTTTTAAAGCTTGCTTGGTAGCCAAGGGATACATTCAAATTTTTGGGTTGGATTATAGTGATACCTTCTCGCCTGTAGCCAAGATGGCATCTGTTAGACTTCTAGCCATTGCAGTCATTCGACATTGACCTCTTCATCAATTTGACATCAAAAATGCATTTTTACATGGTGATCTTGAAGAGGAAGTATATATGGAGCAACAACCTGGGTTTGTTGCTCAGGGGGAGCATCGAATATGGTTTGTAGGCTACACATGTCTCTTTATGGTCTTAAGCAATCTCCGAGAACTTGGTTTGACAGATTCAACACTGTAGTACAACAATTTGGTATGGTCCGTAGTGAAGCTGACCATTCTGTCTTTTACCGTCACTCAGTCCAAGGGTGTATTTATCTTATTGTGTTTGTAGATGATATTGTCATAACTGGTAGTGATGAGTCGGGAATACTCCAGTTGAAACAGCATCTTTCGAATCAATTTCAGACAAAGGATTTTGGTAAACTCCGGTATTTCTTGGGTATTGAGGTAGCCCATTCTAAAAATGGTTTGGTGATTTCTCAGCAGAAATATGTTAGGGATATTTTGGAAGAAACATGTTTGTTGAACGCTAAACCATTGATACTCCTATGGATTCAAGTGTCAAACTACTACCCAATCAGGGGGAGCCTCTATCAGACTCGGGAAGGTATAGGAGATTGGTTGGAAAGTTGAATTATCTCACAGGTCACTCGTCCAGACATTTCTTTTGCAATCAGTGTGATAAACCAGTTTTTAAATTCCCCTTGTCAGGAACACATGGATGCTGTTATCCGGATTCTAAGATACATCAAATGTGTTCCAGGAAAAGGTTTAGTGTATGAAGATAAAGGACATACTCAGATAGTTAGATACTCTGATGCTGATTGGGTAGGGTCACCAATTGATAGACGATCCACCTCTGGGTATTGTGTACTTGTTGGAGGAAACCTTATATCCTGGAAAAGTAAGAAATAAAATGTAGTTGCAAGATCAAGCGCCGAGGTAGAGTATAGCGTCATGGCAATGGCAACATGTGAACTCATTTGGTTAAAACAGTTACTCAAAGAACTTAAAATTGAAGAAGCAAAACCAATGACACTTGTATGTGATAATCAAGCTGCATTGCACATTGCTTCAAATCCAGTCTTCCATGAGAGGACCAAACATATTGAGATAGACTGTCACTTTGTCAGAGAGAAGATTGAAACTGGCGACATCGTCACAAGCTTTGTCAACTCTAATGATCAATTGGCAGATGTGTTTACAAAATCTCTGCGAAACCCCAGAACTAATTATATGTGGCAAGCTTGGTGCATTTAACTTATATGCTCCAGCTTGAGGGAGAGTGTTGATATTTATAAATATAGTGTTAAGAATATTTGTATGTAGAATAGTCCCATATCGATTATATCGTGTAATTAGTTGTAATCTCTCTATATATAATAAAGTCTCCGTAGTGCTTTCAAAACACACAATTTTAACCTAAATGTCTCTTAGTCTCTCCTAATTCAATAGATACCATACCTGTTTCTACCATAGATTTTTTCATCTGGAGTTCATTATGTATATTCTCATCTCCATTATTTGTTAGTGATAGACATTTTTCTTTGACAGATATGTTTATGTGGGAGATGTTGTGGTCTTGAAGAACCCTGAAAAGCCAGATGACTACCTAGTCAGAAGACTAGCTGCGACTGGAGGTTATGAAATGGCTTCTACTGATCAAAAGGATGAATCGTTTGTTCTTGAGCGGGGTCAATGTTGGGTAGTTGCTGAAAATGAAAAATTGAAAGTCAAGGTATAAATGACTTAGCTACTTAGCCTTTATTTACATTGGCAATTTACTATTACTTTTATGCTATTCTTAGGTGGATCACTATGCACAATCTGAAACATTATTACTATATTCATGTTGAAATATGACTTATAGATTAAAGTATTATTTTATCAAGCTGTTCTTAGTTATCGTTGATATGGAAGTATTTAAGGTGGTTCATGCTTATTTTTTTATTTTAATTTTAAAAGGTGGTAACACTCGTTCTTTAAATGTTCTGAATTCTGAAAATTATTGTGTAATTATAGCTAGGTTGACTAATAGTTCGACTGTTTAAATTTTTTGTTTTGTTTGAGTTATCAGATTGTGTAAGCCAGTTTTTACACTTGTGTCAAAAGATGCTGAAATTATTGAAATAATCTGGATTCTGGACTTCAGTGGCCTTAAACCCCTTAGTCCACAGTTTGGCACGTCAATTCCTTAAGCAGGTTTTGGAATCATGCATAAGACCTTGATATGGTTCTAGGTTGTGTTTGTGGCTGGGTTCATGAAGTATAATTTTCTCAAATCCTGTTTTGACCAAAGCTTTTTAATAATAAATAACTACGATGGAAATCTAAAGCTAATGGTTTCAGTGGCTAGCTCTTAATTTTTTTCTCTATGTAGCATTGTGTCTCCGTGTTAAGTGAAAACCGAAAACATAGTTATTTGAACCTGACATTTTTTGTCCTTTGATGTCTTTATAGCTTTTACGTGGCAGCTTTGAAATTTGTAACTAATCTATGTCTAGCATTGAGTGTAAATTTCCGCAAAGGATAGTATAATGTTTTATAGTAGTATGTTTGGTTATGTTTCAACTCCTCAATTTCTTGTAAACAAAGAATGATACTTTATTGAATGTTTCCAACCCAAATTGCAGGAAGCAAATGATAGTCGAACATTTGGTCCAATTCAGATGACGAACATCGTTGGCAGAGTCCTATACTGCCTGCGGAGTGCTGTAGACCACGGCCGTGTACAGAACAGGTAACGGATTTCTGAGATTAATACACTATGCATTAATGGGGTGGTTCTTTTGATCATTGATATGTTTTTCTCCCCTGCCAGTCCTTTCAGCATGCAAAATGATTCACCGGTGTTGGAAGTGGAACTTGATGTTGATGAGATGGCAAAAAGTCACAAAGCCTGAACTTTAGTTCCGAGAAGCGCTAACTTCTTGAGTTTACCTATCCCTTTGTTTCTTGTTATGGAATTTACTTGAAATAAGGACGGAAATAAATAAATATATGATTTTTAAATTGTTGCTTTGGGATGGTGGTATTAGAAGTCTGCAAATTAGACAATTGATTGAATCTTTTCCCAACCAGAAAATTTGAAGCGGCTTGTGTTAGAGATTGAGTTCAACATTGTTGTAAGCTGAAGTTCTTGCAAAGGACTTCTCTGTCTCTTGTTCTATTTGTTAATCAGTTGGCTCTAAACTTGGTTGACTAATTTTTAGTCTTTGTGGATGATGATAAAAAGTTACATTCTGGGAAAATATGATTCCTGCGTATTTTCCTTTTGTTCTATGCGTTTTATTTCCCTATCATTTCTTCCTCTGGGTCTCATCATTTTATGAATGATGACATGCATCACAGCTTTAACTAATGATTTGTTTGTCAATGGTAATTCACTTTACAATAGCCTATTTTTTTTAATAATGAAATTCAATAGTCTAATCTTGAACATTTGAGTGACAAGAACAAGATATGAATATTATATTATCGGTTATGTTCGTGAAGAAATTATGAATCTGCTCAACTAAGGTTCTAACTCTAAAGACAATCCACATTTTTTTTAAGATTAAAAAAAAGCCAATGCAGGCAACTAAAGCTTAAGGGTCTCTTTGTGAGTTGATTTTTGGAGTGAAAGATTTTAGAAGATTGCATTTATATTTTGAAATGTGTTTGATATTTTTTAAATTATAAGTAAATTTTATTTTTTAGATTAATTGAATAATTAATATCTGACTTATATATAATAGAGATACATCTAAAAATTAAAATTTATTTATAATTTATCATAGAAGGAGTAGGTGAATAACACATGTGGATTTCTCATTTTAAAAATGAATCTCACATGAAATGATAAAATCCACATGCATTTTTATCTAATAAAAGAGTCCTGTTAGTGATATTGTTGAAAAGATAGAATTAATTAGCTTATGATATATGTTAATCTATTTATTTTTCAAAATTTCAAAAATAAAAAATAGCATGACATGATAAGACAGTTTTACCCCTAAAATAATAACATTACCGAGAACACCCCTTATCAAACAAAACACGCGAATTTCAACTTGCGGGGAAAAGAAGATTCTAATAAATTGCATAATCGGCATTCTATGAGTTTTGTCACAGTACAATGTCGCAAACGGTGAATCTCGTCGTCGCCAACAACGTTGGTTAGTGTCTCTCTATCTCTCTTTCCCCTTCTTTTCCTTTCTGTTTTAAGATTGTTCCCATATAAGAAAACCATACCGTTGTTCAATAGTTGAAGCCACTTCAACTTCTAAAACCCCTTTCTTTTCTTTGGTTTGAAATGCAAATTTCACACTAGGGTTTTATGAACTATGTGTTCAATTAGGTAAATTTTCATTTTTTTACACTTAGTTGTTACTTTCTGATAGAAAAGCCTCAAACTTTATTAACTTCATTCCCTGGGAAATCATGTTATCCAAGTGGGTCGAAGACATATACTTTTTGTGACCAATATTTGACATTTCATTGATTTTGGTTTAGAATTGTTAGGTTTAGGTATTATGTTACTGATAGTGGATGGTTGCATTGTTTACTCTGGTTTAGGGTTTTAACTTTGTTTATGATTATTTTTGAGTTTTGAGTTTTGACCTATGTAGCACGACTCCTCTGAAAAAAGCCATATGTGTTGGACAACTGTTTTGACCTATGTGTTGGACAGCTGCACCGACACTTGTGGTAGCATTTAATCTATTCATTTTTTCAAATTATTATTGGTGTCGCAGTGTCACTGCCATTTTCGTGTTCGAGGTGTCTGTGTTTCATAGGTTTTGACTTATTGTATGATTGACCCAATTTGAATCTGTATGTTTTGTCTATAAGCTGCTTGTAGATTTGTCGCGAGTCATGGTATTGTAGAGTGATTAGCTTGTTTGATGTCTTCCTTTACTTTTTCTGTCGTCATACAATTCAATATATTTCAGGTTGTGGAATGCCAGAAGGCAAGTGTTTCCCGTGTTCACGTGTTTATGGAAGAACAACTGCTGTATATTCATGCCCTTCTATAGGTCGTCGTAGAATCCGTTCCCATGTCAAAATCGGAGGACTCAAGTCTGGTTCTTTCGCTGCATCATTTGTATGTGAAGCAAGGAAGAACCCGGATTTCTCGAGACAAAACAACAGGAACGTGCCGTCGAGAGAAAGTAATAGGAACAATGATGGAAGAGATATCTTTGATAAGTTTGAAGAAGACATGTTGTCTTCTAAAAATGGACCATTGGTATCACTTTCTTCAGGAAAATCCCAAGCCACTTCATCCCCCGGGGCTAGAGAGAAGGAGATTGTTGAGTTATTTAAGAAGGTTCAGGCTCAGCTACGTGAGAGAGCCTCCTCTGCTAAAGAAGAAAAGAAAACCGATGCCTCCTCTGTTAAAGAGGATGGTGCTGTAGATTCCCTTCTTAACCTCCTGAAGAGACACTGGACTGAGCAAGTAAACAAAAGCGGCAAAGAAGAGAGACACTTGACTGAGCAAGTAAACAAAAGCAGCAAAGAAGAGAGACACTTGACTAAGCAAGTAAACAAAAGCAGCAAAGAAGAGAGACACTCGACTGAGCAAGTAAACAAAAGCAGCAAAGAAGACACTGGAAAAGACAATAACTCTGACCAGTCGCAAGAAAGTAATCACTATGATGGAGTACAGAGCACTGATTCTTTTGATTCAAATCATTCTCCAAAGGATGAGTCTCGAGATGCCAACGTTGCTTCTGTGACAAGGCCTCGGTCAGCTTTCCAAAAAAAGTCTCCTGTTTCACGCGTAAAGTATCAGCCCGTCTCCTATAATGAGTATGAGACTAATTCAGAGCCAATAGTTAGTGAAGATAATGTCAATAATCAACATGAAATAGATTTGAAACCTGAGGATGAACCCGAGCCCGAGCCTGAGTCTGCAATTGACCTCGATACAAAGGATGAGCTGTTCTTCCCAGAACTGTCGGAGGATGATTCTCATGATATTGAACAAACCTATAATGATGAGAGCGTGGAGGAGCAGCTAGATGTTCAAACTGAGGATTTAAGTGCATTGAAGTTGAGTGAATTGAAAACACTCGCAAAGTCTCGTGGCAAAAAAGGGTACTCGAAAATGAAGAAGGTCGATCTCATAGAGCTACTAACTGAGAGCTGATTCTGATTGAAAGCTACAAGAAGGAAAAGGAATTACTAGAACAAATAAAATATGCCATCATGATAAATTATAAGTTTTTCCTCCTGCTTTTAACTTGATTTTCTGTGTTGTTGTTTTTATTCTTATTAGTTTCTAAATATTCCAATCCCAATTACCTAGGGTGGAGTCTTAGTGGATCATTTAGAGTAATCATGATATCTTTGCTGTGAGGTTTTTAAAATTTTGTAGTTTGTGATACAATTATGAGATATATGAGAGTTCTTTTCAGTAACTCAACCTTGAGGCTTGTGTTAATGAATACAGTATTACCTGGCTAGAAAATTTACCATCATTAATTTTTATATTTTTGTTCTGTAGTATCTTTTTTAGTAACCTCATATATTTAATATCTTAATGTTTTGAATGAAAATGTAAAACTTGTGGTTTTTTTTTAAGACGAGAGAATAAAAATTAAATCTTGTTAGGTTATGTTATAGAATATGAAAAACTAACAAATAACACATACATTTATTGTGTAAGTAGACTATTTACAAATTACTGCATGTCATTTAAGGGATCAATATAAGTTTTTTTATCATTAATATGCCGTATCATGGATAATCAATATCGAACCAACACAAGTTAAAGTTTAAGAGTAACATGTACCTTCAATATACCCACTACGAAAATAAAGGAAATTTTTGGAATAACTAAGTATTAAAAAAAAAATCCGTAAATAATCATGTTTCGGATAAAATTACGCAAATAATCATGTTTTAGATGATTCCCCGAAGGAGGAGTCATCTCACTTGGCGCCTCCACTATGCATTTAGCCCTAGGCGCCATCTCACTTGGCGCCTCCTCTCTCTTTTAGTCAAGTGAGATGACGCATGCACTACAAAAGTGAGAGGAGGAGCCATCTCACTTGGCTCCTAGGGCAAAATGCTATTTTTTATAAATAATCCGTCCGTTTCTCCGTCATTTCTCACACTTTCTCGCACTGTTTTCTTATTTTTTTACTCTGTTATTTGCGTCATGACATCGCCCATGATTTTTACCAGAGATGGTTACGTTATCTTCTCCGCCACAAAACCTGCGATGAAAATGAAATTCTGGCACATTCACTCCATAACGCGTCTGAAGCGGGAGTTAATGCGATGGCTAGATGGAGACATCGTGGAAGGGGAAAAATTCGAAGGATCCAGCGAAGACGAACATCAACCTCACATGCGACAAGAAGACCTAATGTTTGGTTGGAGGAAGTCAAAACAGACAGCGACGTAATATTGATGATGCATGGGTCAGATGATATTGTTTTAACAGTTGTAATTTCGTAGACGGAATATCGTGTTTTTTTCTTGTACGCGCAATGTTTATTATAACAAATACTGTTAACGAAAAACCCTAATGTTTACAACATAATAAATGAAAGATTTTATGTAATACAATTTTTATGTGGTCGATGCAGTAGTCTGATTCGGACAATTTTTGCGATTGTGTCCGACCTGACGATATAAACCACACTTTCTTTCCAGCTTGTCAAGGGAGTCCATTTTGGTTGTGATGCGCTTACTTTTGGGACGATCCTTTTTGTTCCTTCGCATTTGGTTATTGTGCCATACTATTTCGCCGTCGTATGCAGGCCAATAATCTGGTTTTGCTACCAAAGAGAAGTTGTTGTTGTAAACGTTGAGCAATGTTTCAGATTTGTAAATGTGTGACAGAAGTTGTAGCGCGTCTTGATGAGTATAGGCACATGCGGCAATGACATGAGAGCAAGACATACGAAAGGCTTGAAACATGCCACAATCGCACCAACGAGAAGGTAGCACAACCCTATATTCTTATCTTGGCAGGCCCTCGTTGTGGTCGATTGTCTCTTTCACAATGAAGTTGTGGCTGTGTCGGTCAAATCGTATAACCATATGGGTGTTGGCTTTGGCACTTTCTGCCTTAATGTACTTCATGCAGCTTTCACTCCACAGTTGTCCAGATTGCAACACCGCATTCCATATTTCACCTCTTTTGGCAAACAACGAAGCCATCCTAAAATACGTAGATTTTACCAAAGCAGTGACCGAGAGGTTTCGTATGCCTTTGAATACTCCATTCATTGATTTAATTAGATTTGTTGTCATGTGCCCCCATCTTTGGCCATTGTCGTATGACCTAGTCCATTTTTCTACAGGAATATTGTCGATCCACCTACCGGCTTCCGAATTTGACAAATGGATCTCGTTGCGGTAATATTTAAATGTAGGTTATGTCAATGCATATCCCGCATTCATAACCGATTTCCTTAGTATTTTGTCTTTGATCTCCCTCGTGAAATTTTGGACGATATGTCTAACGCAATAGACATGCGTAGAAGGAGGGTCATGCCAACCGTTTGTAGGATTATTATATGCACTTTCAATGGATACATGTCTATCCGAGATCAAACAGAGATCTGGTTGAGGAGCCACGTGTGTTCGCAGATTTTTCAGAAAAAAGCTCCAAGCACCACCAAGGCTGCCACCTAGCCTGCACCTACTCTGTACCTACACTGTAACCTCTAAGGCTCATCCCATCACGTCCAATAGTGTTACATGCATTCAGAGATGCCTTCTCCAAGGCTGTCACCTAGCCTGCGCCTACTCTGCAACCCATGCCACCTCTTATTCGCCAATGAGGATGACGACACTTTTCATTTTTGTACTCTTTCGCCAAGTCCAATGGCGCTTCTCTTCATGTCCAATCGTGTTACATGCATGCAGAGATGTATTCTTCAAGGCTATCACCTAGCCTACACCTACACTGCAAGAGTGAATTTATCATGCATACATGCACCAGCTACCACCTCACTTACTCTATAAATACAGAGCATAACATACTTCTCTTGCATCCACAATCGTCTCACTCTCTGCTACAAAATCTTTCATAATCCCTTACAATTTCAAAATCTTTCACAATCTCAGACATTTTCAACAATGGATCTTCTCACAATGGGCGATTATCACAGAGGCACAAGGGACAACATTGCAGCATTTTTAAGTTTCTTTTATAGTTATACATTTTTCATACTTCTGGTAATGCTTTGTTCATCTTACTTACTCTTACACCTTTTACATTTTTAACTCAGGATACCAAAAGATTCAGAATCCGGTATCACAACTACCTTGCTCCTGACCCATTGATCGTAACGTATCTGGAATACGCAGGTTTCAGACACGTTATAAAGATCTCCAACTACACAATTGATTCAAAGTTCATACTTGCAATGTTGGAAAGGTGAAGACCAGAGACCCATACATTTCACCTACCAATAGGTGAATGTACCGTCACACTAGAGGACGTGTACATGTTACTAGGTCTCCCTGTCGATGGTAATGCCGTTAACGGGTCGGTTCAACAATCCAATTCTCTGTGTGAAGAATTGTTGGGCAGAGAAATGGTTGAAGGTGGTGGTGTGAGAGGTCAGGGTATACTACTAACTGAGCTTAAAAATTATTATGCGACTTTGGAATTAAACGAAAATTCCTCCGAGCTAGCCAAGGTAATAAAAGCTAGAACTTATATAATGATACTATTTGGAACCTTTTTATTTCTCGAAAGTACGGGAAATAGTGTAAATTTTATGTATTTAAATTTACTTAGAGACTTTGAAAAAACTAGAAAGTATAGTTGGGGTTCTGCTGTTTTAGCCCACCTATACAGTTCCTTGTGTAAAAATGCAATCAAGGAAAAATATATATTTTATGGCTGCACTTTTTACTTCAAGCCTGGGGTTAGTGGAGGATGGAGTCCCTAAACCCCGTCAACAACAACACATTCGTTTTCACGTACGCAACAAAGTAAGTCATCAAGTTATATCATTTATTACTATTCATCTCTTCACCAAATATATGATAAAAATAAAATATTTTTCATTTCCTTTAGGTATTGCGTGAGGGGTATGGATTACGGCAAGAATCCAAGATTCAATGTCGCACTATACCGCAATCTATTGGATCACCTTGGCCCGGATGATGTACGTCGCACCTTTCAACTTTTCTACTTCTAAAATAATTTATATATTACATTTTCATTAACCTGATTTAATTTTATGCGCAGTTTGTCTGGAGACCATATTTGGGTTTGGGCCATGAACCAAACCCTGAGGATACAACAATTTGGAGCGCCAAGACTGCAATCATACGATTCAATATTGTGGAGATGCACCACAGCGACCGTGTGAAGATGCAATTTGGAATGCATCAAGAGATACCCAGTGATCCGACTTGTTTGTCCCCGTGGCATCTTAAAAGGGTCGACGCCCAATGGGGACTTACCAACTGGAAATACTTTACTCCAGAATGGTGTAAGATGTGGCAGAGGCGTCACCGACATGTCTTACAATTCCTAGTTTTCCTTAATCATAGTAATATGCGACACACGAATCAGTATTAATCTTGGTACAGATCGGTTGGTAACCCTGAAATGCACGTGTCTCATCTAAGGTATTTGGTTGACCCACGAACACAATGGACACAACCCTCATTTCCCCAACAACAAACCCAACACATATCAACCTCCCACCAACCCCCCAGACGAAACAGAACCACAAACACCCAACCACAGTCGCCACCACAATACAATTACACCCACATGCCCCACAACCAACCACAATCACCACCTCAATACCCATACCCCCATACGCCTCACACCCAAACGCAATTTCAATCACAATGCCAACACACCCGCATACCCCACACACAATTTCAGTCTTCTGCATATCCCAATATGGGCCCCTCAACATCCAACCTTAGCCCTGATCTGGGAATGTTAGAAGATTTTGAACCAACCGACCCAACTTACCATCAACCACAATATCACCAAACCACCCAACATCCTCAATACCAAACACCCCAAGATCCATTTCCTTTCTACCCCCGTACTCAGACGACCAATGCTACAGACCAACCATAGAACCCCATCCACCGCCAACACGACCAAACTTTGATGGTATGGGTAACCGACTTTACCAAAGCGGATCTTCTAGA